TGTATTACAAATTTTTTTGCATAGATGAATGAGAATTTCCAGTTTGTTGAAATAATTTGTATTTTGTCAATTCCTGGAGCCCTGTTTTTCACCAATGCCTTCAGTGCAGCTTTAGCTTCTTCCTTCAGTCCATCAATTCTTGAACGTATGCTGCCTCCTGAGATGGTTGAACACTGAGTAATTTGTTTTGGTGCAGTGATACTGTGTATTCCTTCAATTTTCTTTCTTTTCTTGCCCTCGCTCTCTTTTTTTTTTTTTTAAACAAATAGTATGGATTTTATTGTTAGCCTCCTCATTTGTAGGAGATATTTTCAAAAGATTTGGGAGAGTAGCAAAATGTAACATCTACCAGTGGGAAAGAATATTGCAGAAAGCAGTGAGTTCCAGAGAAAACATGTACAGTCACTTTACCTACAGGAACTTGGCTACATGGTTGCATCAGCTCACCATTCATTAATTATTTCTATTTTGTGAAGACGAAATAGTGCAAAAAAAGAGTCTTAATTAAACTATAGATAACTAATGTGCATCCAGCAGGAAGTCAGGCACACTAAGGTCAATGAGAAATGCAGAAGACAACAGCCCTTCCCTTAGAGAGCTCATAAGCTGGTTGATAGGATGCTTTTTCTCCACAATTTGGTCTTAAATCCATTCAGGGCAGCTTACGTATCCTGGTAACTTCTAGCATAGCCAAGAGTTTACAGTAGGTACCTGGTTGAAGGAGAGAAAAGGCCTTTGGCACTGACTGAAGTGTTCCTTCAATTTTCTTTTGGTGCTTCCTGGGTTGGTCAGTATTTTTGCTCAAAGAATCCTTCAGTATTGCAATTTGAGGCTTGAATTTTTTCTTCAGTTTTTTCAGCTTGAGAAATGTCAAGTATGATTTTTCCTTTTGATTTTTTAGCTCAAAGTCTTTGTACATTTATTGTATTACTTTGTTTTGTCTTCTTGAGCCTCACTTTGAAATCTGTTCAGCTTTTTTGCTTCATAATTTCTTCCATGTGCTTTAGCAACTCTATGTTCAAGAGTAAGTTCAGAGTCTCTTCTGACATCCATTGTGGTCTCTTCTTTCTTGTCTTTTTAATGACCTTTTTCTTTCTTCATATATTACGCCCTTGATGTCATCCCACAACTCATTTGCTCTTTGGTCATTAATTGGAATGACCTTCAGTATATCCCACCTGAATTTAGACCCCCAACTCAAGAATAGATTTGATGCATTGAACACTAATGACTGAAGACCAGATGAATTCTTTATTCCTACATATTTTATGTTTTTTGTTGCTCTTGTCAGTGGGATCTATTTTTTATTTTCTTATCTATGTAGTTGTTAAGGAGCTCTGGTAGTGTAGTGCCTAAGGCACTTGACTTCTAACCAGAAAGCTGGTGGTTCAAACCCACCAGCCACTCCTCAGAAGGAAGGAGTCGCTATGAGTTGGGTCCGACTCGACGGCACATAACAACAACAACAATGACATGTACTTGTTTATACAAAGGAAGACTGTTAATTCTTTAAAATGTTAATTTCTGCCCAGCTGTATTATTGGGTTTTCTTATACTTCTACTTTGAAGTTATTTTTTAGTTATTATACTGGTATACTATTATAACAAGGAGGACTGGTGGTGCAATGGCTAAAGTGATCAGCTGCTAACTGAAAGATCAGCAGTTTGAACCTACCAGCTGCTCCATGGGAAAGAGATATAGCTGTCTACTTCTATAAAGATTTATAGCCTTTGAAACTCTGTAGGGGCATTCTGCACTGTCCTGTAGAGTCAGTATGAATTGGAATTGGCTCGATGGCAAAGGATTTGGTTTTTTGGTTTTACCATTATATCATCATTATTTATTTATGATTTTGCCTTCTCTTTTCTAATTTTATACCTCTTCTTTCTTTATTTTTCTATTAACAAATATTTATTCCTCCTAAACAGTGTTAACAATAACGGTATTATGAATATTCTTGTCTTTCTGTGTTTTTTAATGGGATTATGTATTGTGTTCTCCCATTATTGGGTTGAGGTGTATGCTATTATGTAAAGGAACTATTGAATTCACCTTTTTCAGTAAGAAATTTCTGTTTTTTTAAATCAAGCATGGATGTTGAATTTTATCAAAAGCCTTTTCAGCCCCTATGGAGACAATTTTGATCATTTAATAAGGTAAAATGCATTCTTATTTATCTTTATGACTTTACCTTTCTAGTAAAACTCCACTTAATCCATGTGCATTACATTATTCTTTTAATTTGGCAGTGGATGATTCCTATTGCTAATTTTTATTTAAATTTTTGCATTGGTGCTCATAACATACTTGTTTATATTTTTCTTTTTCATTCGGCCATTTTCATTGGGTTTTGGTTTCACTTTTATAAATACTTTTTAGAGCTTTCCTCTTTTATTATATACTTTTATGACTACATTTTAGACCTTTCATTCTCTGGAATAGTTTAACTCATGAGATAGTTAACTGTTTCTTAAAGATTTGAATGCTTTGTTTTATTTTCACTTATGTATTTGTTGTAAAATAAGTTGTTGGTGGTGGGAAGGTTGGTGGTAGTTCTTATATAACTTGTCCAGGTGGATTTTTCTCTCTTCTAGGAAACAGTTTTGGTAATTTGCAGTTTCCTAAGTATTAGTCAGTAATACAGGTTTTCAGATTTACTTGCATGATACTTAACAAAGTAACCATTTATGGTTCTTTTTATAATATTCATTGCATCTTTGGATATTTCTCTCTGATTTCTTACTTTCTTTACTCTATATATTTATTAGTGTTAAATTTTTGTTTTTTGAATCTTTAATTCCTGTCTTTGTCTTTATTCACTTTTTCCTTTTGCTTTCTTTAGGTTTGTTTTTCCTAACTTTTTTGGTTATTTACTTAGTTCATTGATTTTCCTTCTTTCTTGTTAATAATAGAAATGTTTAAGGTCAAAAATTTTTGTTTCAGCAGTATTTTAGCTGTCTTCAGTAGATCTGATAGTATTTCCATTATATTATTTTTTAGAGATTCTGCAATTTGTGTTTTGATTTCTGTGGAAGTCCTGAGAGACTCATAAGCTAGACATCCTTTTTCTTTTCTTAAGGCCTTTACAAATTTTGAAATAAAATATATATACAAAAAAGCTGATAAAATATATATGTATGGCCTAAATTAGTATTTTTAAAGTGAAAACCTATGTAACCAACACTCAGATCAAGATATGAAACATTAGCTATACTCTGATAATCACATCTTTTTTTATATATTTAATTTTATTTTTGGTGAAAGTATACACTGTAAAACTCACTCCCATTTCACAGTTTCTAGACATAATGATCAGTGACATTTGTTACATTTTTAAAAACTTTTTTGTTGTTGAGCATATATGCAGCAAGACATACACCAATTCAAAAGTTTCTACATGTACATTTCAGTGACATTGATTACTTTCTTTGAGTTGTACAACCATTCTCGCCCACCATTAACATAAACTCACTGCCATCTAAGGCACATTCTAATCACATTCTTCACATTGTGTCATAATTCTCATTATTTCTGTTGTAGTTGTTTTACTTCCATTTACTTAAACTGCCTGTCCCCTAACTTCCTCATCATTGCTTTAAAATAGCTGTTGACCATTTGGTCATTCATATGTGTGTGTGTATATCATATATAGATTATCATATACAGATAGATTTTAAAACACAGTATTCAAGAGTGACAATCTTTATTCCTTGAGCTAAACTGTTACTTAATTTAAAGATAACTTCAGGAGGTAGTTTCAGTTCAAAGTTGGAAGAACAAATCAAGACCATGGCCTTGGGGACATCTTCAGCCTCAATTTAGGTCTAGTAAGTCTGGATTCTTTAAAAATTTGTGTTCCTGTTCCACATTTTTCTCCCTTTTTACCAGGATTCATCTTTTGAGTCCCCGATCAGAACATTCAGCAGTAGTAGTTGGACAACATTTAGTTCATTTGGTCTGCAGGTAGAAGAGGCAGTGGTTCATGGAGACAGTTAGTCGTGTAGTACAGTTCCCTCTCTGATTCTTGGGTTTTCTTCTTTCTCTTTTCTTCCAGATGAATAAAGACCAATAGTTGTATCTTAGGTGGTTATTCATAAGCTTTTAGGACCCCAACATTACTAACCATAATGGGAAGTAGAACATAAACTTTAAAAACGATATTATGCCAATTGACTGGATTGTCCCATGCAGCCAAAGCCTTCAAACTAAGAGAAGTAATCCCTGGAGGTAATTGGTTATGTCTAGTTATTATCCATGTCTATAGCCTCCCATCTTTTTGTTGTTGTTATTGTTGCAAAATCATACAGAACGTAGCAATTGCCCATTCATCCCTTTTCTGTATATGCAGCTTATTAACATTAATTATAGCAGTCATGCTTTGCATACTTCATCTACATTTGGTACCATCTTTTCCACTACTATAAACAAAAAGTGACTTACACATAAGGAGTACTTCTCCCTCTCCTCAACCCCTGGTAACCACTGATGAACATTACCAAAATACGCACTGCCTTTGAGTTGATTCTCACTCATGGCAACCCTATAGGATAGAGTAGAACTGCTCTATAGGTTTTCTAAGACTGTACATTTTTATGGAAGCAGACTGTCTAATCTTTCTCCCATGGAGCGGCTGGTGGTTTCAAACAGCTGACCTTTTAGTTAGCAGCTGAGTGTTTAACCACTGTGCCACAGAGCTCCTTAGTGAACATTAGTCTCTGTATATTTATTTATTCTTGTCATATCTTCTTTTTGGTATTGTTTATTGTGTTCCTTAAATGCGATGTTTTTAGTATAATCCTTGCAGTTTTTTAGAATCCTGCTCACTTTTCTTATCTCGTGCCTTGCTATCTTTTCTTAGTAAGCAAGTATCACAGGTGGGACACATTAATTTTATATAACCCTTGGTTATGTAGAATAGAACATTATTCTTAACCCTGTGTAACTCTATTTTCAGTATTTTAACACAGAGAATATTTGAATTTTTAAATTTTTCTTTTAGTCCAGGAGTATTGGTTAGAAGCGAAGATACCAGCCCTGAAACAAAATACTCCTGAAGGATCTCTTCTGGGAGAGCAAACAGAAAGTGTTGTAATGGAAAGAAGATCCACAGAGAAGAGACACTATAAATGTGAGGAATGTGGGAAGGTCTTCAAATATAATTGCTCTTTTATTAATCATCAAAGACATCATACTGGTGAGAAACCCCATAAATGTAAAGAATGTGGGATAGCCTTCATGAGCAGCTTATCCCTTTTAAATCATCATAAAATCCACATAGGAAAGCAACCTTATAGATGTATTGAATGTGGGAAATTTCTCAAGAAGCACTCAACATTTATTAATCACCAGAGAATTCATTCTAAAGAGAAACCTCATAAATGTGATGAATGTGGGAAAACTTTCAGAAAGAATTCAATCCTTTTAAGTCATCAGAGAACTCATACTGGCCAGAAACCCTATAAATGTAGTGATTGTGGGAAAGCCTTTGCTCAGAATGTAGCCCTTACTCGTCATGAGAGAATACATAGTGGAGAGAAACCTTTTAAATGTAATGAATGTGGGAAACCTTTCCGAGATAACTCAACTGTGTTGGAGCATCAGAAAATCCATACGGGGGAGAAGCCATATCAGTGTAATGAGTGTGGAAAAGCCTTCAGGAAGAGCTCAACTCTTATTAGTCATCAAAGAATGCATACAGGAGAGAAACCTTATCAGTGTAGTACATGTGGAAAATCTTTCAGGTATAGCTCATCCTTTACTGGACATCAAAAAACTCATAGTGGAGATAAACCCTATAAATGTAGTGATTGTGGGAAAGCCTTTACAAACAGCTCAAACCTTGTTGGACACCAGAGAATTCATACTGGAGAAAAACCCTATCACTGTAAGAAATGTGGGAAAGCCTTCAGGCAGAGCTCAGGCCTTGTTGAACATCAGAGACTCCACACTGGAGAAAAGCCTTATGAATGTAATGAATGTGGGAAGGCCTTTCCCCAGAGTTCAGCACTTAAACAGCATAAGAAAATTCATAACAAAGATCAAATGTAGTTAGTGTGGTAAATAATTCAGAATAGTTTATTCCTTTTGACCATCAAAGAGGAGACATTAAAAAAAAAATTGCTCCTTCAACAAAAATTTTCTATGTGCTTCTAATCCTAGAGAACTTCTTACACTTGTAAGGATATTCATTGTATGCTTTGTACTGGTGAAACAGGGGAAGAACCTAAATGTATATTGATACGGAAATACTTACTATGAAATAATTTATAGCAATTGAAAAAAATAAGGTAGAACTTTATATATCATCATAGAAAAATCAATGATAGTTCAAAAAGAAAATTGGAAAAAATTACGGTCTTACGTTTTTTAAAAATGAAGCTATTTTTATGTATGTGCATACATATTATATGCATCCAAAATGCTATGGAAAACCAAAGGCCAATCTTTGACAGTAATTATATTTGAGGAAGATGTGGTATTGGTATAATGAAGGGAAGTTTTGACTTTGGCTATAATCTTTTAAGTTTTTAATCAAATATATATTTATGTATCTTCTATCATTTAATATAGTTGAATTTCTAAATTAGAAAATTCAGAAGCCATAAAAATAAAAAACCAAATACTACTTAAAAATGGAAAAAAAAAATTGTATGGACAGAAGCATCACAGCATTAAAATATGAAAGGCTAGATTTGGAGAAAATATTATCAACATAATATAAAAGAAATAAATAATACTTAACAATATCTAAATATATAATAGAATATCCAGATACATAAGAAAAATATAAAAACCCAGGGGATAAATGGCCTGGGCTATGAATACATAGTTGTCAGAAAAACAAATAGAATAGTCAGACATAAAAAATGGACATCTTTTGGGAAATGTGAATTTGAAAGATGATCAGATTTTTTTTTTTGCCTTTGGCAAAAATTAATGACATTGAAAATATTTGGTGTTTTTGAGGATGTAAGAAAATAGACATGTTTTCGTATGGTTGAAAGAAGG